TAGGCAATTTCTGGCCAGTTTGCAAACAGGTGAATAAATCTCCAACTGAAGAATTCAACATAATCAGTTTAAACACAAAGAGGAAAACCCCAAACATCCCCAGCCCCGCCGTTTTCCAACGGCTTTAATTCCCGTTCTTCCGTATTATCTCCCTGTTAATAATTAAAAACTCATCCGGAGTTCTGCCCAGAGAAAGGATTAAAACAAAAAAGGCTGTACCTTGGTGGAGAAAAAGCAGGAAAAGGGCAGGAAGGAGGAGTATTTTCATGCTCCCAGCTGTGCTGCTCCGGTGGGGTGTCCGTGCCCCGGGAATGCCGAGGTGTCCGTGCTCCGGGAATGTCGCGTTCCCAGGCTGGGCTGAGAATGAGAGGGAGAGACTTGCCTGGGCTTTATTCTTGTTCCTACATGAGGAAGTGTTTGCTGAAGGTGTTGCACAACACCCCAGTCACGGAGGGTTACAGCCAGTGGAAGTTCCTGCTGGTTGGTTCGTGGCCCACGGGTCGGGATATGGATCGATGGCTCCGAGTTCAGGGCCCTCAGAGCGGGATTTCCTCAAAGGAAATCAAATCCATCCCCAAATAAATACGGAATTGGAGCAGGCATTGAATTAGGGAGTGGGTTGGGTGGTCCTGATTTGATGTGTTTATAATTTAACTCAAGTAAAACCAGTGGGTGCCACCAGTGGCTCGAGGAATGGGACAGTTTTGGGGAGGTTTGGGGTGAAAAAGGAACACAGGGACAGACTTCAGTTTGTGGTAATTCCCAATTTACTGTGTGTGTGAATCATCTCCCCAGTCCAAACTTTTGCTGCCCCTTTAATCCCTCTTAGTAATGTTTGCTTGAGGTTCATGTGATAAGGGCTGAATAAAGGAGGCAGAGCAGTGAGCAATCAGGTGAGGGCTGGCAAATAATATTAAAAAAAAAAATCTGTGCTAGAAAAGGAGAACGTTGGCTTAGTCACCTGTAATAAAGTGCTAATAAAGCTGCTCAAGGCCACAGGTGTCAAAATAAAGCTGCTTTATAGAAGCTGAAATTTTTATAGGGTAAAATAAGTGTTAACAGTACATGGAACTAAAACTGTGCTGTATGTAAATTTATATTTATATATATATATTCATATATCCAGTATATTACATCTATTCATCTTATATATATTTATATATATTTATATATATTCATATATATATTCATATATATATTCATATATAATCATATATTCAGTATATTTTATATATATTCATTTATTATATTCATCTATATATTTATATATAAATATTCATATATATTCAGTATATTTTATATATTCATTTATGATGTTCATTTATATATTCATATATAAAAATATTCATACCTATAAATATTCATATATATTCATATATTCAGTATATTTTATATATATGTACATTCATTTATTATGTTCATTTATAAATATGTAAATATATCCATATAAATTTACAACAGAACCATATCTACAGGAGAATTTTCCTACCATAACTAACAGAAGTTCATACTCCTAATATAAGTGCTATTAAATAGTTATTTCTCTCTCAGGTATGTGTTGAAAAGCTCTGATTTTTGGGACATTCCTAATTCAGACTTTCCCCTCAGGTTTTGCTGCAGCTCCAGACATTCTGGGAGCTGCAAACAGGTGGGCTCTGAGCTTTTATTAAGGGTAGAATGTGTTAATTGATCATAATTTATGTCTGGTGCTGATTGCAGGAACCAACTTAGGTGTAGAACTGGCACGGGAAGGGTAAAACTGGATTCTAAGTCTGTGTCTGGATTTTGTTTAGACATTTACAGTGAGGCCAAGTGGGTTTAAAATGGGTGTAAAATGCTGGTGAGCAGAGGCAGGAGAGTCTCTGCAAGTGTCTGAGAGCCCCTGGAGGGGGATTTAGTGGCAGGGAAGGGAAAAGGGCACCTGAGAGTGCCCTCAAAGCTCCTCTGGGCTCCAGGAGGGAACCAGGAGCTCAGGGAGCACCGTCACAACTTGGGGCAAAAACAGGCCTGGAATCCTGGAATGGTTTGGGTTGGGAGGGACCTTAAAGCTCATCCCATTCCCAACCCCCTGTCATGGCCAGGGACACCTTCCACCAGCCCAGGTTGCTCCACCCTGGCCTTGGACACTTCCAGGGATCCAGGGGCAGTCACAGCTTCTCTGGGAATTCCATCCCAACCCCTCACCACCCTCCCAGGGCAGAATCCCTTCCCTGTGTCCCATCTAACCCTCCCCTCTCTTTTTGAAGCCTTTCCCCCTCATCCTGGCCCTCCTGGCCCTGATTCCCACCTGCTGTTGGAACAACCCCAATTCTGGAAGATCCCTGGAAGGACCTTCTGTCTCCTCCTGGAGAGCAACCCGAGACTCCTGGGACAGGAATCCTTGTTGGGAGCAGCTTCTTTGGGACAGGGTGGCTTGGAGACAGTCACATCCCTCCCCCCAGACTGTGTCATCATCCCAGGTTATGAAAGAGGCCTCCAGGCAAAAAACTGGGGAAGGTTTGGACATCCCCCAGCCAAGGTGCTCCTTGGAGCTGCTCAGAATCACAGAGGAGCCGCTGGCATTGAATTTGGGTGGGTGTCTTTTTAGCTGTGTCAGGAGAAAGCTCAGTCCAAAAGGTGGACAATTCAGTGTTTGAAATGTTCTAGGAATGGAAACGAGCTGGGCATTCTTGGACTGCATCTTTGCCTCTAATTAAGGAAAATAACTACGAGCAACTTGGTTTTCCAAACGAGTGGCTGCTCTCCAAGCATTTATCTCGGCTCGTTCTCTCCGCATGACGCACTTGAAAATTATGAGCTGACCCCCCCCAATCTCCTCAGCTAATGCTCTGAATAAACTTGTGCTTTTGAGCAGGAGAGGAGGGAGAGTCACTCTGTGAATAGACACAACATCCCAACAAAGAGCTGGCAGGAAGGAGGGAATGTGATGTGATGTGGTCTTGGGTAGACTTGAAAGGGAATTGGATGTAATTTCCTTTTGTGACTTGAGAAGCATTTGATGTTCCTGCCTTTGCTTCAGTGATTCTGTAATAATCTGATTGCAGCTTCTCTCCCTGGAGGTGGTCAGAGAGTCTGGGAGGCCTCAGATGGCAGCAAAGCTGCTTTGAACTTTCTGAAACCCCCAAACGATTGTGCTGAGTCCAAGGGAGCAGCTCTCACGTTCATGGGGGGTAAAACTGGACAACAAGTTTGTCTCAACATTTAATAACGGGAATATTGGTGTTTTTAAGCTGAGTGCTCTCTGCTTAATCAAAAGAAGGAAGCAGAAAAGGGTGAAATTCCTCCTTGCACTGAGGGTCTGCACAAATCCTGCCTGTGTGAGATTAAACTGAGTGTCAGATAAAGTCACGGTTGAATGTGAAGCACTGGACAGAGCTCAGGAAAAATCAGGGTTCCAATCCCTTCTCTGCTTCTGCCTTGTCCTGAAGTTCACTTTGAACCAGGTTTGCAAAGGCACTGAAGCACCTGACAGGGATTTTCAGGAGTGTTTCCCAGGGTAGGTGTCCTTTCCCCTGCACTTCACTAGGTCCATGTTCAGCCATGACCCGAAGGACACCCCTGTGAGCCCTGCAGGGCTGGGCAGTTCAGAGAGGTGATTTTTTTCTGTGCTGTGTCTCTGTTTGTTCCCTCCTGCTGCCCCCCCTGAGCCCAGACCAAGCTCAGCAAACAGCTCAGCAGCTCTGCCCCAGCCCTGTGGCCACATCCTCTTCCTCTGGGGGCAAGTTTGGGGACAGACTGTGGTGTGTCACAGCCCAGCCACGGGGCTCTTGCCTCACTCCACAGTCACCTGCCTTCTGCTTCCCTGCATTTCCCTTTCCCAGGCTCCAGCCCCAGCCAGCCTGCAGGTTGTTTTTCTTGGGAATCCAAACCAACCCACACGGTTTTGCCTCCCTGTTCCTTTGCTCTCCTTTGCTTCCTCCACCTATTCCCAGCTGCATTCCAGCCTTCCCACAACCTGCCTCTCCCTGCCAGCCCCATCCCTTCCCCTCCACTTCCAAAACCCACTGGAGTCAACAGGAGACTTTCCATTGCCTTCCAGGGCCCTTGGATCAGCTCTTGGATAATCTCAATTCCTTTTGAAACCTCCTCTTTAAATAAAGCTTTTCCTTGTGCTCGCCTCTGTTGTCTCACACGTTCCCAAAGTGAATTATCCTTCTTTTCCTCAACTGGCAGCCTTCAATATTTTACATTCTGGGGTTCTGTTGAAGGATATGATCCAATGGCTGCTTTAGACCTGGATGTTTGGATAAGTTCCTTCCCTTCTAGCTGTGAGTTACCTGCTCCTCTGCTTATCTGCAACGCTTGGCTACCTTTGTACTGCCGGGAGTTTCACAGAAAGTAAATATAAAGGAAAATATTTTCCCCCGAAAGGTGATTGAAACTCACTCAGTGAGCAGCAGCTGAGTTATTTTTGGTGTGGCTTTAATCAGGTTACAGACTGTCAGCCGAGTCTGACTAATGAAACCTCATTACAAACATTCTGCATCCCTGCAGCACTTTTTGCCTCAGAGATCATAGACAAATATGGTGTTACAAGCCTGTGGCTTCCTTCTTTCCTTCCTTTTTCTTTGAAATGTAGGACCAAAAATCGGTTACTTCATCTTCCTCCTCTCTCCCTCTCAGTTAGCTGCGTTTTGCTTAATTATCCTTAATGAATCCATCCACATGCCCCAGTGTGATGGAGCACATGCAGCAGCAATCTAGGCAGGCTGGAGGGAGTTAATTGAAGGTACAGGACCTTTCCATGGATTTCTCAAGAACCATGAACGTCTTGTGAGTTCTTAAGTTGATTAAAGTGACTTTTTTGAAGGTTAATGCTTCTCAGAAAACACCTGCAGCCCCATTTCGGGCTGTGCCATGTGTTGTGTAATTGTGTGCACACGTAGAGCTGTTTAATGTTCTCCATCCAAAGGGGACAAAGCAGATCATTGTGAATTCAGCACTGTGGTCTCAGGGCCTTTTCTTTCTTTAGAGTGTTGCCTGTGGTATTGTTTATCCTGGTACTACGTGAGGCCTGGCTCCTTTTTTCCCAAGGGAAGGGGAATTCTGTGTGTTCCGACGTGGTCCTGAGCACAACCCTCTGCTGGCTGGGACCCACCTGGGCTCTGCTTGCCAGGCACGAGGGCACGGGGGCTCAATTCTTAGAGCTGGGCTTAAGGAGGGGGGAGGCACCACTCAAGGGTGTGGGTACATCAGAATAATGGAATGGCCTGGGCTGGAAGGGCCCTAAAGGTCACCTCATTCCACGCCTGCCATGGGCAGAGACACTTTCCACCAGACCAGTTTACTCCAACCTGGCCTTGGACACTTCCAGGGATTAGGCAGCCACAGCTCCTCTGGGCAACCTGTGCCAGAATTCCAACCAAGAATTCCTTCCCAACATCCCATCTATCCCTGCCCTCTGGCAGTGGGAAGCCATTCCCCCTTGTCCTGGCACTCACTCCAGGCCCTCGGAAACAGTCTGTCTCTGTCTTCCTTGCAGGCCTCTTCAGGTCCTGCCACAGTTAGGTCACCCCAAAGCTTCTCTTCTCCAGGCTGAACAGTCCCAGTTCTCCAGACTGAACAGTCCCAGTTCTCCAGACTGAACAGTCCCAGTTCTCCAGGCTGAACAATCCCAGTTCTCCAGCCCTTCCTCCCAGCAGAGCTGCTCCATCCCTCTGATCCTCTTGGTTCCTCCTCGGGACTCTTTCCAGCAGCTCCA